CCTATCTATCTGTCTATGGCTCTACAGCCCTTGTAGACTTTGACCACCTTTTCAGTTTCTTCATCTATACACAGTCGGTAGGACTCCTTGGATGGGGGATCAGCCCGTCGCAAGGCCACTACCTACACATAGAACAACATAACAGAATAAATGCACACAGTCATTCATGCGCCGAGTGGAATTCGAACCCACGAAATCAGTGTTCGAGCGGGCGAAGACGGCTCATACCTTAGACTGTGCGGTCATTGTGATTGTCGATTAGAAACCTAGAAAACAAGAATATATAAAGCTAAAATGTTACCTCGTTTCGTATGCCGCTGTAAAATTTAATGTGCTAAGCTAAGGAAAAATCACAGAGTAAGAGTGTCTCAAGGCAAAGTGGCAAGGAATAATATGTGGGTCTGACTGGAAGCGTGTGAGAGGGGGATCGAGACTTGTGCTCTTTACTTAACATTGTTAAGGTGACGAAAAACGGAAAATTGGCTGGGCGGGGAGTGTAGCATGCATAGGAATACGAGCAATAAATGCAAACAATCGATGGGAAAACGTTAAGGCAAGAGTTCACTTGGAGTACCTAAACATAGATGGGGAATGTTTTTAAAATGAATCTTGGAAGAGCAGATTGTGCAGTGCGGAGAAGAGGTTTCATTGACTCGAGTTCATGAACATCCGTGTTCCATAGGAACAGAAACTTTCTTGACCAGCTGATTAACCATAAACATCTACATGGAAGTCCTACAACGCGAAATTATTTACCTACGAGTCCCACAGAGAGCGTTATACAAAATGTGTACGTGTGTGTGTGCGTGCATGCGGACAGGCTCTTGCATGTTCGAATGTTACAGGTTTTGGTGCGTCATGGTGAGAAACGACACTGGAATAATTGTCTCAGATCTAGAGGTCATCATTACTCTTAACTACAGTACCTAGGAGAATGGACTGTTTGACTGCTGATCTTCTCTCAACAGAACGTAAGAATGAGTAAGTCTGCCTTAGAAAGAGGAATATGTACGTATTTAAAGTGACAGTCCTTCAGACGGTTAAGAAATTCGCCGTACTTATGAAACCCGACGTTTCATTACCATCCAATAAAAAAAAAATAAAAAATCCGAATGTAAGAACATCATTGAGTACTCCAAGCTAACTCCGTGGCTGTAGTCCGCAAGCGAACTATACCGACCGAGCGACCGCCACTTGTCGGCGAAATTAGTGCCAACTTTTGCGGATAGAGCGCAACGAATCCCATGGATTTTGGCCTCAGCCAATTGAAACATTTCCAAAACGTCACATCCAATTTATTTACGATCTATTTTAATGCTGTCATCTCATCAAAGACTAATTATGCGAAATGGCCCTCCTTTTAGGTTTTTGTATTCACATTACACATAGCTCTTCTATTAGACTTCGACGAAACAAGCTCATCACAACACGGCGTTCATTCGGAAGAAGGGAAACAATACCAAATTCAAGATGCCGGCACGTTTATAAACAAGCCAAAAAAAAACATAAATTCAGAGCTCTTTAATTTATATTTTAAATAATTCACCGACAGATGGACATAGTTTAGTTTCAAGCGAACTTGAAAGTGGGGCTCTTTGTGTCCATGTCACTAGTTAATCTATGTCGCCTTGGTTAGTATGCAACTTCATAAATACATCTTCATGATGACAATCATCCAAACAAAAGTACCCTGAATGTAAATGTTCACAGGGCTTCGTCTTTAATAACAATAGGCACTTACGCGGAATCCATTGTTTTCTTCAATGAGCTTCACCTCCATCCCATAGACAATTTCATTTTTCACGAACAAGAAGTTGTGCGACATGAACAATTTACGCAGCGAAAGGCATTGTCGTCTGCGGGCGCTACTCCGTTGAGCAGTAAGTCTCAAACACAATTTCTCCGTGTCTCTCTAGCAGGACAGTACAAATGAGTGTCTCTACATTTGTATTTTCTTCCGCCGAAGACAGCCTCTAATGTTATCTAGAAAGCAACACTTGCGAAAAGAGGAATATTAAACTGATTCTTACGTCAATGTCATTTAACTGCAAGGAATTTCGTTCAAAAATAAAAGGTAAAGTTAACCCTGTGCTTAACTAATTAAGCACTATGCCATGAAGGCGTATTGGGGAGTGGATGTATAGATTCACATCCACTCAGAAAATAAATTAAAAAAACCGAATGTAAGAACATCATTGAGTACTCCAAATAAACTCCGTGGCTTTAGTCCGCAAGCGAACTATACCGACCGAGCGACCGCCACTTGTCGGCGAAATTAGTGCCAACTTTAGCGGATAGAGGGTCTCGCGTGGTCAGCGCAACGAATCCCCACGGCCGTTAATTTCTCTAGAGCGATCATTGAGGACTATCTTCTGGGATGTTACGCCCTGCAGTTTGGAGCATAACCATCGACATATCGGTGAAATATACAACTTCTATCTTCAGAATTGAAGAATGAATCAAATATGCAGCAAGCTGAGTAGCTTGCTTGGGGTTTTCAACCCTGAAGCTGGAAGCAGTGAGTTCTTCCGAAACTCTACCATGTTACAGGACGAAACATATCCATCACTGTGAGAACCCCAAATCTCACAACAACGCCACATAATGGCGAGTCCC